CATATCCCAAAGGAGTCAAAAGCATGATAATAAAGGAGAGGAAAGCAGTTTTTTTAATCCCACAGCTAGATCCACTAAATTGGGAGACAGGGCTTGACACTCTGACATAGCAGCACATTGGCCTGGCTCACCGTGTCATTTTGTGTCAAGTATTACTACAAATACTGACACTGATGCACTGAAGCAGCATTTGATGCTTCCTTAAACACTTTCAACTTGGCAAAGGAAAAACCAAATCTAACAAACATCACTGTGATGGCTACACCTCTCAAAGTTGCCTCCAGGATGACCAGCTTGTTTCCCTATCCGTGGTACATCACCCGTGGGCTGCAGCAGGCAGAGAGTATACTACATTGTGTGTGTTTTGCTAGAAGCGGGAGGGGCTTGGAGTTCTTCTCCCAAAGCTGTTTGAAAGGGATCCACGGCGTCAGATGCCAAGAGCTAGAGAATAACTGGGGCAAACGGTCCTAGGCAGATGCAGAGTTGAGGCAGGGACTAAAAATACAGATTTCTGGGCTCTCTTCCCAAAGCTTTTGATTCAGTAAGCCTCTAGTAGGGTCTGGGTCCTTGCATTTTGATTAAATGTTCATTTGACCTCAAGGATCAGCCAAATGCAACAACCATTGGTGTAGTGCCGAGAAGGCTGGACTGAGACTCCAGATAGCACGGCAGGTCCCAGTTCTGACACCAACTGTTGTAGGCTCTCTGGCAAGTCTCTTCACAGTTCTTAAGCTGCTTCTCAATTTCCTCAATTGATAAGGTGGGGAGAGAGAGTGCCTGGGAAAGATCTCTGAGATTTTTGATTCCATCAGTCTAGAATGGAGTACTAGGACTAGCAGACAGCACAGTATGTCATTAGGACCTTGAACCCTGGTTCAGTTCAGTTGCTCAGTCGTGTCCGACTCTTTGCAACCCTGTGAACTGCGGCACACCAGGCCTCCCTGTCCATCACCAACTCCCAGAGCTTACTCAAACTCACATCCGTTGAGTCACTGATGCCATCCAACCATCTCATCCTCTGTCATCCCCTTCTCCTCCTGCCCTCAATCTTTCCCAGCATCAGGGTCTTGAACCCTGGAGTCAACCAAATCCAGGTCACATTTCCTCACTGCTGCTTCCCAGTTGCTGGGTCACAGACAACCTCAGAGGGAAAAGTAATAATTTCTTTAAGTCTCAGTTTCCTCAACTATAAAATGCTGACAACAGTAACAGCGCTGATGGCATAGATTTTTCTGAGTTTTAAGTACACAGTGCACAAAGCCTGTCCAGGACAGAGCCCCGCCGAGTGTCCGATACCTGTTGGTTGTGAACACCCCTGACAAGGTCAAGCAGAAGAGCTGTCTGCTGTCCCCTGGAGCTACTGTGATTAATGAGGTTCAGGGGAAGGTAACCCTGGCTGAGCAATCCTTAGGCTTGTCTTTCATCAAGAGAAACTCACAAGAAAAAAGCTTCTCTGGGGAGAGCAGGATACCAGAGTGAGGCATTAAACTGTGTCTCGTGAGAGGAAACGGGGGGACAAATTAGAGAAGGGTGTTATACCACCTACAGCATGTTTATCAAAGTGTGATTCAGGAACACCCTGCTTTAGAATCAATGGGGTACTCATTAAATTAGCACATTCCTGTCCCTACTGGATCAAACCCCGTGGGGAAGCACGTCCAGTACTGTGCTTTTCTCAGAAGGTACCAAGAGACTCTTCTTTAAACAGGGTTTAGAGAATCAATGGCAAATGCTGTGCATATACCGCCCTCTGCCCCTCAATTCTCCAGCCCTGTGTTTAGCCAGAAAAAAAAACAAAAAAAAACAAAAAACCACCGAGGGCAAATGAACTTGTACATCTGCGTGTTTACCAAAAATCTAAACTTCTTATGCTCTTGTCATCTCCCATGCAGCTGGGTTCCAAGCGGGTGTCCAATTTCGCATAATGCACGACTCCCCAGAGAAACAAACACTAACCCAGGGCTGGCTACTTAAGGAGGTGGATGATGTCAACTTCCTTGGAATGGCAGTGTGGTTTCTAAAACTTCAATACCCTTCCTCTCCACCCCACCTGGCTTCTTTACCTGGTTCCCACTCCTTTCTCCTTAGGCTTTCTTTGCTTACATTCTTTCCTTTGGATATCTTTTCCTTCTTTTTCCTTATTCCCACTTCTCTCACTCCTCACTCCTCTTCAGCTTTGCCCTACCCACCCTGTATCTTCCTTCTCTCTTTCCCTCTCTGGTTCTGCCTCTGTCTAGGTTTGTCTCTCCCCGATTCCTTCCTTATTCTGCCTCTGTGTGTCTCTCTGCCTCTTCCTTCTCTGTTCCTTGGTTTCTGTACATCTGTCCATGGATCTCTCTTTCCAACCTCTGTTATACACAACACCTTGCTGCCCATCTCTCTTCTTGATGCCCCAGCTCCTGGCTCCCCTCCTAATAAGAAACCTCCAGGAGTCAGGCTTCTGGGCAGCCATGCAGGCTGGGCCAGTGAAATCAACCAGCGCCCTCTACAAATCAAGGGGCTCACTCTACTTACAAATCCTTGGCAATCTGCTGCCAGAGTCCCAGAGTGAGAAATGAGGAGGATAACTCCTGGGAAGGGACAATAAATGGGGGCTGGAAAGACGCAGTAGCAATTACAGAGTGGAAAGAGCAAGGCTACACTGCTGTAGTACCTAGAGCCTCCCCTGAAGGAGAATCTGCTGGACCCGGCACAAGCAGCGGAGGGTTCTTTTTGCCTTTTGAGTGTCCGTCACTTTATTTCCAGAGTACAAACAGCTCGCTGGCAGACAGCGGAGTGGCAGTGCCAAGGGGGTGTTGGGAAAGCTTCAGCATCTCCAAACCTCCACTAATCTCCTCAAAACCAATCGACCCCCTCCAAAAACAAAATCTGAGTGAAAAGTGAGTGTCTCCTACGCATGGTACCCCCAGACAACTCATCTCCCTACACACCTCCCCAAAGCGGCTCCCCCATCTTCCAACCTGCCACCCAGCTTTAAGTATCTCCTTTACAGACAGAGGCTTCTGCCAGGAGCAGAGATAACTGTCCCCAATCTACCGATGAACAAACTGAGGGAGGAAGCCACACAGCTGATGAGGGAAGATGCCACTTTGGAGTGCCACTGCTTTCAGGGCCCCGGGAGTATTCTGCACATTCACCTTACTGGAAGGATGGTGCATTCAGAAGAAACTTTTTCAAAGCGCTGCCCCGCCCTCTGTCCTTGTGCATCTGCGGGGGTGGGGGATACACGGTCCCTGCTCTCTTTCTGTCCAGCTTTCAAACGACTTGTCCTTATACTAACCCACTCACACCACCTGTCCACACCCTTCCCAAGCACTTAAGCTAATATCTCCATCTGAGTCTCAGGATAAAAGTGCAGCAGAGAGGTAAAGAAGAATAAACTCGTGCCTGGCCCGGGTGTTTCTGCAACTCCCCCTCCCCTTGGGGGAATATAGAGGAGCAAAACGCTGAGGTCTGGCTCGCTGCCCAGCCTAAGAAACTGGAATACCCGCCACAGGGGCCACGAAGAAGGCCGGGCTCGCATCCGAGGATCAGCCAAGTCCGCGGCGCCCCAGCTGAATGGCCCCTCAGTTGCCTGCAAGTTGAAACCGCAGTCAGGCACACAATGAGGCCGCTGTTTTCCGACAGGAGGCATTTGGATGCCTCACACACTCACCCCAAATCGGGCCTGAGAGCAGAGAGCGTATTTCTTTACCCATGTTCAGATGCCGCCCCCCCTCCCCCCAGAAGCAGCAGCCTCGGCCCTGTGGAGGGAGCGGTTCCCCTCCCCCGCGCCCGGCTCCAGGAAGCCCGCGAAGGCCACCTGTTGGACTCTGTCCGGCTGCCCCAGATCTTGCGCCCCGAAACCCGCACCGCGGAGCGGGCACCCAGGGTACCCTACCCGTCAGTGACAGATAAATCTCACTCGTGCCTTCTCCTGTGGCTTCGTTTCCCACTCCCAATCACCCACATACACAGTTCCTTGTATCCCAGCTGTTGCCTATAATGAAGCACGCTTAGACCTTCCCTAGGGGCACGGGCTGCCCTGGGTCTCTGAGAGCGCCCATGTGGCTGCGGATCTCTAAGCGCATACGCTGGGTGCCTGTTTAATGCGCGGGCGGCTGAAAAGCCCCAAATGGCAAATTGACTGAAGAACAGTCAGGGGCTTGCTCTAGGGAGCCCCCTTTCTCCTTGGGAAGCGGAAGAGGGATCCTTGGTTTAGAAATGAAGGCATTCGGGGAAGCCCCGAAGGCAATCGGATTGGAGAACCACTGTTGCGTTCCGCTGCCAAATCCCAGGATAGGTGCAGGGAGACTCAACTTTCTCCAGTCTCCCTGCCTTGCCTGCAAGCAATTACCTAGGGGGAAGGGCGCCGCCGGGACCGACCGGGCTACTCACCCCTGGGTATGGACGCTGCCCCGCAGGAGACCTCAGCAGACCCGCGCGCGCGCGGAATCCGCGAAATGCCTTGGTGTCTCGCTCCTCTCTCGGGCCACGCGGCGAAGGCTACGCGCTCCAAGCGGGGCAGTCGAGGGCAGTGGATCCCATGAGTGGCGAGTTGGCAGAGGGCGCGCCGCCCGGCTGGGGGCGCATCGCTCCCAGGGCTGGCGCAGGCTGCAGCGGGGAGAGGGGCTCCCGCTCCCGGAGAAGTTGGCGGCGCTGGGGGCTGACTTCGGACTTCGCGCTCGCTTCAGCTCGGGCGGCCGGGCGCGTCTTCCGGGATAAACAGGGACTCGCCGGCGGAATGGGGGCCGGCTGCGGGAAACCTCCGCTGGCCGCCGCCTAGAAAGAGCGCAGCGGCGTCGCGCCGCCTGGAACCTCCAGCAGCGACTGGAGCAGAGAGCGAGCGAGAGCGCCCGGCTGCCTCCTCCCGGCTGCGGGCGCCCCTAGCTCAGAGCCCGGCTCGCCCCAGCCCGCCGCGCCCCTCCTCCTGTCCGTGTCCTCCCCTCCGCGGCTTCACCGGCTCGCGGGGCTGGGCTCCGGCCAGAGGCAGAGCGGAAGGCGGCCGCAGAGCCCGCAGCATGGAGGGTAATCTCGGCGGCTGGGGCTCGGGCTTGGGCTCCGGCAGCGGCAGCAGCGGCCGCCGCCTCCCGCGCGCCCACGTGCCGGAGCCCCGGTGTGCGCGCTCCGGCCGCGGGGCTGGAGGGAGGGAGCTAGAGCGAGCCGCGGGTGGGGGTAGCGAGCAGAGCCTGCACACCCGCGCAGCCGAGGGGAAGCCGCTGAGAGGCTAGGGAGGGCACGGGGCTCCTCGTCTGCAGCTCCAGGAAGACTAGTGTGCAAGGCTTCCCCAGCTCCGCCCTCCCTTTGCAAAGCGGAGGGAGCCTGCCTGGGGCGGGGGCGCTCCACTGCACAGGATCGGCCGCGAGTAGCGGCTGGAGGCGGTTACGTGTCTCCGCCAAAGGGACAGGTTCCAAGTATCCTTGAACCCCGTCACGTCTCGCCCCGCGGAGACTGGGTTTCAGAAACCCCGGGTGAGAGATATGCCTGTTTCGGCTTGCCCCGCCTTCCGCCCAAAGTAAGCACTTTTCCCGTTAACCCACAGATTCCAAGGTACTCCTCCTTCCAGGGAGAGAGGAGTTGTCTTGCAAGATGGGCCTGACAACCTCCAGTCAATTGACCGATAATGAATGAGGCTCACTTTGAGCAATGCCAGGCCATGTCCTGGATCATGGGGCCCTCCGTGATTGGAAGTTGCGTTGTCTTCTCTGCTCTGCGGACCCTTACATAGGCCCTCCCCGGGCCTCATTGCTCCCACAGTTAAATAAGGTTCCTTCCTAATGGGAGTAAGAAAGACGAACTTGTGTGAGGATTTTAAAATTATAAAATACTTTAAAACATGTGTAATAGTTCAATACTAAACGAGAAGTATGATTAAAATAAGGAAATGATCACAGAAAAATAAAAAATGAGACCTCTAAAAAAACACACACAAAATGCGCATGTTACTGGGCACACACGCAGTGACTTGGAGCTCTTAGGCTCCAATCTGCTCATTATCTTGATGGTGAAATGGAGGCTTGGAGAAGACACGTGGACTGTCCAAGGTCACACAATCCAATCTGGCGAGACACTTCCGGTTTTGGTCGCTTACTGCCAAACCTGTGTTTTGTCTGCCACGCACCAGTACACGAATTATGTTCAGCCTTGTTGTGCTGAGACATAGCAAAAAGAGAGATTAATTCCCTTTGAGGTGTCTCAAAAAAAAAAAAAAAGGTTTCGTGAAAGAAGTGGAATGTAAGCTAACTTTGAAGGAGTAGACAGAATTCAGATATCTGGAAAAGCCAGATCCTCCAAGGGGAGAAAGAGAGGTCACTAAAAAGATGAAAAAGATCACGTTACAGCAGCAGCAAACAAGTTTGGCAGGAGCAGAGTGCTTGCCTAGGCGATGGGGAGCCTGGAAGGGTTTTTAGCAGTAAAGGAAAATAATGAAAGCTTCGTTTTAGGATGATCAATATGTCCCTGTACAGGATGGATTAGAAGGGGAAGAGATGAGGGAGAGGGGAAGGAAGAAAGAAAAGAAATTGCCAGCGGAGAAAACCATTAGGAGGTCAAGACAGCTATCAGGTGCCGGTGATGGAAGCTGGATGGAATGTAATGGCAGGTAAAGGTGAAACAAACAAAACTCTTCTATCCTGGCTCTTAAAAACCTATTTCATAGCAAGTACTCTGCCATTAATTGCAGGGGACGCTGTATGGAAAGGCACATGTGATTGAGAAATAATTGAAAACTGGGGCTAACCCTCAGAGACAACAGCGGAGCTTTTCACAATAACTGATCTGAAGCTTATCTGGTCCTTTGGTTTCAACATTAAGCAACTGGGAGCAGCTCAGCAACAGACTTTGAGAAGATTGACTAAAGATTTCTATCAATCTACCAAAAGCAAAAACCAGAAAGAGAAGGGAAAATCTTGCTTTCTTTTATCCCTTGGATGCTCTTGAATTCACAAATGAATGGCTTCATGGGTTTCCTGAGGTTTTTCCACTGGAAATAGTCTTTCTGACACTCTAATTGTCTTATGTGGACCAGCAGCAACAGTATCACCAGGGAGCTTGCCAAAAGAGAATCTGAGGCCCCATCATACACCAACTGAATCAAAACCTTCATCTTAACAACATTTCTAGGTGATTTATATGCACATTAAGTTTGAGAAGCATTTCTCTATCTGGTCATGTCTTTACAGTTCTTCATACTTTTGAGTATAGCATATAGTAAAAAACAAACAGAAAAATTTGCATATTACACCATGGCTGTGTACACACACACATTCACACTTACTTACAAGTTAAATAAAAGTTTCACAAAACTAACATGTGATTCACTTCTGTATTTCCTATTTAGTTTATATTTTTAAAAAATGATTAAGATTTACTGATTGATTCCACGATCTTATAATCGATGACTGCAATATGTGGTATGAAATACATTGAGCTGTATTTATTCTTTTTGCCTTGAGTTTTGGTTGTATGTTTGTATATCTTACCTCTTCCACTAATTTGTGAGTTGAACCTGGAGGGCAAGGTTCAGATATTTTTTTATCACTGAAATATAGGTCAGAGGTTATCAGAAGGTTTTCTTTGTAATAGCAACTCAGTTAGTATTCAAGAAGTAAATCAATCAATGAATGTATGAATGGATGGCAGCCAGGGGTTAGGGGCAGGCTGAGGGAAGAAAGGAGAGAAGCTTGGAATGTAGGAAAGGATTAAGCCAAGAAAATATTTATCCAAATCTCTAATTCCCTGAAGCAATGTCAATGGACTATGAGCAGAAAAAGTCATTTATAAAACAACCATGCATTCAAATGTTCCACTGGCAGCCAGAATCTTATTTTCCAATAGAGCTCACCTTTATCGCTTCACAAAATTCCAAACCTTGCTTGGTTATGGTGGAAAGCAGCTGAATAACTAATGTAGATTATTAGAAAAGGATAAGAAATGGAGAAGTGGCAAAGACCAGTGAGTTCAAATCTGACACAAAAAAAGGAAGCTGCTCAGAATCTTGTCATCCTGGGACCCAGGCCACTGATTAAGGGGAGGAAAGAACTAGGATTAATTACTTGGATTGAGGTAGATGGGATTGTCTGACTACATGGGATCCTTGGCAATTATATCTTTCCAAAATTCAAAAAATAATGTTTTTGGAGGCAGCAATTTCCTTGTCACAGGATATATATCAAAGACAATGGAAAAGTACTTATTCTTCACCTATCAAAGAACTTTAGAATGGAGAATATTATGATTTATTTGAGATAAATAAAACCATAACCTAAAGTGTGATTATTTGAGTCAGAGTATTTCATACTGTAAAGAGATCAAGTGTCCACCAGTTCAACTTTTCATTTTAAAGGAATCTATGAAAATCATCACAGATTCCCTTATCACAGGGTATACCAGAAAGCTATAGATCCAGGATTTGATCTCAGGCTTTCAAACTCAGTCACCATGACTGCCTGTTATACTTTACATGGAAATGCTACAGACTACACAGTTAGGAAGGGCTTCCCAGGTGGCGCTAGTGATCAAGAACCGGCCTGCCAATGCAGGAGACATAAGAGAAGTAGGTTTGAGCCCTGTGTCAGGAAGTTCCACTGTAGGAGGGCATGGCAAACCCACTCCAGCATTCTTCCCTGGAAGATCCAATGGGCAGAGGAGATTGGCAGGCTACAGTCCAAAAAATCACAGAGAGTCAGACTTGACTGAAGTGACTTAGTATGCACACTGGAGAAGGAAATGGCAACCCACTCCAGTGTTGTTGCTTGGAGAATCCTGTGGACGGCAGAGCCTGGTGGGCTGCTGTCCATGGGGTCGCACAGAGTCTAACATAACTGAAGCAACTTAGCATGCATGCATGCATTGGAGAAGGAAACAGCAACCCACTCCAGTATCTTGCCTGGAGAATCCCAGGGACAGAGGAGCCTGGTGGGCTGCCATCTATGGGGTCGCACAGAGTTGGACATGACTGAAGCGACTTAGCAGCAGCAGCAGCAGCAGCATGCATGCATGCACAGAGTTAGAAAACCCTTTTTAGTGTAAAGACTGATTGATGAATTGCCTAAAAAGTCAGTGAGTGAATAAATTTATCGAATGTCTGCTATGCAGAAAGCACTGTAGCAGGTGTTTTGTTTTATTTCATAAAATCTGTATTTTTAAAAAATCCATGAAACAAGACTATTTAATCCCCACTTTGCAAATGAGGAAAGGAAGAGGGTAAATAATTTGCCCAATATTTTAAGGCTAGAAAGCTCCAGAGAAGGTTTTTAAGCAAAGGTCTATGTTACTCAGGTAGCCATACTCTTTCTTTTCCTTATGCTTTGCTTCCAAATCACGGATGGTTTAGAGCAAAAACTGGCTGGAAGATGGAAGGACAGAATTCTGATTGGGGCAGAGGATTGAAATAGCTGACTTGATAAGTACACCCTTGTGCTGAGATCCTGGGATGTTTTGAAGGGTTGTTCACATCAAGGTGGAAATACTGTTAAGTACTTTGAGTACCCCCTCCTGTGTAGAATCCACAAACTGACTCAGTGGCGGCCCATTACACTTGAAAGCTACCATATAGCACAAGGAATACTTCTCAATATTCTATAAAAACCTAAATGGTAAAAGAATTTGAGAAAGAATAGATACATAAATATGTATAACTGAATCCCTTTGCTATATAGCTGAAACTAACATAATATTAATCAACTATGCTTTAACATAAAATTTTAAAAATACCAGTTAATGCTGCTATTGAAAACTGCATTGGCTATAGCTCAAGAGGAAGTTTTGCATCAGGAGAATTTTATTCTCCATGTAAATTAGTGTCTTTTATTTGTCAAGAGTAACAGACATCAACCTAAGCTAGTTTGAGGGGTGGGGAAGGAAACTCATTTTAAAGAACCAAGAGACTCAAGAGACACAGGGAAATTAATGAAATAAGGCCTCCATAAGGGACAGGAATTTGGGGGTGGAGTCTTGCTAAATTTCATATTCTCTCTCTTTTTCATCTCAGTGTTGCTATGCTTCTATTTCTTGTCTCTCTTGCTACAAAAGTCTTCTCTACTTCTCTGCTAATGTGGCAGGTAACATGAATCACGTGCATTTCAAATAAATTTCGCAACTTGCATCTCTGGGCCTCCAGTCTTTTTATCAGGAGAGGATATCTCGTTGTTCAAATGTTCACCTTCAACCATATGACAGAACCAGGAGGGTGTAGTCACAGTAGCAACAAATCTCCTAGGAGCTTAGCTCT